GGAAAAGCGTCACGCATTAATGCGGACGTCGTTTTGCATAGGAGAAAAACAAGGAACAGCTGCAGAGGGAGAAAATCACCACTTGTTCCTGGAAGGAAATAAAATGGGTAATTTCCGTATACAGAGAACCTGCAACAAGTATAGAGTATCTAGGTTAACAAAGTTTTCTCAACTCAACTCCAAAATTCCAAACAAAAATTGAGACCTGATTTGAACAGGATAGCTATCGATTTACACCTGATAGCAAGAAAAGTACTTTCTCTTGTAGCTATATTCAAACTTCTAGCATATCTTTGAAGCCCTGCTATAGATCTGAGTGCAGCAACATTTTTGTTCCAAGTTTTCATTTTACACATAATTAACAGCAGATGCAAATTCAGGTTGTGCCTGGCAATTTGACCTGCAATTTGACCACCAAGCCATTTGACATTCAAATTTGCATGGAAGTTGACTTGTAATTTGACCTCTGGCCCAGACTTTGACTTGCTTTGGCCCCTCCTTTTTGCATTTTTGTGCTGATATTTCTCAATTTTATGAAGTGTCCCAATTTCACCACTTTGAAATTTTACTCTAGTCTGACTATGGATTATCGAGTCAAACTGCAAGGTAACACCTTTACCTTGATCCCCAAATGTGGCTCATGGTGTACGGCATATTGGAATGTGAAATAAAAAAATTTTCTAAATTTTCAGATATTGATCAAATGAGGTTTTTTTTCATTTAAAACTAATTTTGGTCTACAATATAGTTACAGGAATGAAAATGCAAAAAAGACTGCAAATATTGTTTCTGTCTTTAAAATATGGATGGGGCAATTCATAAGCTCAAAATTTGCAGGATGCAGAAACACGAAGATTCACAGAAAAATTTATTTATTTCAAAACTGAGAAAATCAGACATTGAAGCCAAAACGACTTATATCCAGACCAGAGATGTCAAAAATGACTAAATAAAAATAACTTCTCCCCCAATTAATTCCTTATAGTGAAGCAAGCTCATTGGGAAAGTTCGCCCTTATTGATCATGCCCCTCGACTGAATAAGCACGCGATGAATTTATCAACTTGTCTATAAAATTAACACGGAAGAAATAAGATGACTCATCCAAGAAACATGTGGCATGACGAGGTGAATGTCTGGGAAAATTCCTCGCTCTTTGACACGGCTCATAAATCCCTTCCAAGTGCTCTTTGAGCACCAATATGTCAACAGGTGTTGTGTTCCCGTGTCATTTCATCACCTCGACATGAGGAAATATTTCTACGAACACAGTCATTCCAGAATTTATGACTGTGATCATCTGAATTTTTCTTCGAACGCGTCATTCCTGCTCATGTCGCAACAGCGAGACGAAATCACGGAACATTCCTGCCATGATTTTGCTTTTGTAGTTGTTAAAACGCGAAATAATTTCTTCCTTCGTCGTTCAATTTTTATAATGTACAGTGGTTCTCGCCTCGAAGCTTTACGATCGACAACTTGAGTCTATCGACTTGAAATAAAAACGAAAAACGCAGCGAAAAATATCCTATGAACAACTTTCCATTGAAACAAAAAGGTATTTCGAAATACTCTATTTCGCAGGATTTCCGTCGTCTGGACGATTTTTCGACATCGGAGCAACAGAATGAAAGGGAGAGTTATTGAATCTGCCCACGCTTTTTGACGTCATCACGCAGTCAGTTGGTCTGCGACTCGAAAACCTCATCCACTATTTCATTACTATTTTTTTTCTGCTCACATTCTTTCATTTCTATTCGTATTTTCATTTTTTTCTTCCTCAACACGTTTCGCGGTTCGTGTGGGCGAAGACAAGACATTGATTTCAAAATTGCGATGAGCCCATGATCTGATTGGTAGGCGAGAAACTTGTTCCGGCTTCGGGAAAAGAATGTAGGACTTGCTTCATGGAAGATACGACGAGCTTCAAGTGTTCTTCTCGGGATTTGAAGACTTAATTCAGTGATTTACCTTTCATTTTTTTCTACTTTCGAATAATTGCTGTGAGACTTGGTTTCGTTCAGCATATATCGATGATTTTTATAATTCTGCGCAAATGTTGAATTCCGGAAACACACGCAAACAGAAAGTCTTTGATCGATTTCTGAAATTAAAAAACAATTCCTCAGCAAAAGCATAATTGTATTCTTTTCAGCGGATGAGATTTGTTTCTTTACAACGAAATTTCGCCAATATTCTCGCATCAACGCAGATATGCTTCTAGAACTGAATCTAAAAAAAAAACTGATCGCGTCTATAAATATTTGTATGAAGGAAAACAATATAAGGAAACTTCGTTGACCGGTTTGTCACTGACTGCTTTTTAATCTTCCGGAAATAATAAAGAAATGTGTGTCGCAATGCTTCATTAATGGTGATTGACGCGATAAGCAAATATAACCAGCTTCTCAACCTTGACATAGAAGTCGAGTAAAATTGATTCGGCTCTATTTCGCAATTGCATGAAAATAAACTGGAACTTTTGGTTCGAACTCCTCCAGAAGTAATAATAATTTATAATCACCGTTTGATAAAGTCGGAGAATTGTTTCGAAGTAGATTGCACGTACTAAACTTCATTTAAACATTTTTTCAAATATTATACTTCGAATTTCTTGTAAAGGATTTCTTATTCGTCATATTATTCTATTCGTTTGAATTCTAAAAACATATTCCATTAAAAATTCAGTGTAAAAAGCTAAAGATACGTTAACGCGAAAATTGAAATTTGATTCTGTTTTTTGAAAAAAGGGAATAATATCGAGAAAACCTTCCTCTTGGAACTCACAATTATTGAGACAAAAAAAATTAGAATAAATTTATAAATCAATCTCAAGGTGAAAAGAGCAATGGACGAAACTCGCAGAGGAAAAATTTTGTGATCCAATTTTTGGAAGATGAACTCAATTTTCTTAGGCAAGTGTTGTACATAGCGTCAACTCGCGATGAATATCAGAAAAAAATAAATAAATCTAAAATTTTAATGGTTCCTCTGTTGAAGGTTCGCCAGATAATTCGATCAAAATACGCGACTGCTTTGCAACATTTAAGCGATTAATATCAATATTTTTTTCGATGATGCTGTTGAGCCGGAATATTTATGCCACTCGAATGTCACAATTCTTCGCCAAAAAAATAACGCGAATTTTGATAAATAACTCGAAAAATACTATCCCACGTTTGAATTTAACCACTTTCGTTGTAAAATTCACAAGTATTTCTAAACTTTGCTCGGAAACAGCGGGTTATGTTCTTCGTCTCGTTACGTCCCACGGATGAACTACGACCCCGGAAAAAATTTATTTTCTCATATCATTTTATTTTCTCTCCTCTTCATCTGCTTCCATCATCTCCCACTTTCTTAAGCAAATGAACTTTCAAGGGCTCAACAGCAAAGGGGAAAAAAATGTTGCCGAAAGCGTTGATCCAACAATATGAAGCCGCTTTCACGAATCTCACATTTCGCATGCGTGGGAAATCAGCTTAGCATCAACTTCCACGTGATAGAGAGCAAAGAAATGATCAAAATCTTATTTACCTCAAGTAATGCTGTTTGCGAGGCTATTTTCTCGGAAAATTAAAATTGACAATAGTATCCATTAATTTGAGTCCAGTTACAAGATGCAGGTGGAATTCTCTTTCATCAATTTGTTTAGAACGACATTGTAAAGGCCAAACGCAGAAAAAAATGCTTTTATGATTTAAAAAAAATGCAGAACAACAGTTTCAAGAGTCATCAGCAGAAGTAATTTTAGTCTTTTGCTCTCTTTCCGTCACAGCTTTCAGAATTAATTAATTTCCCAGTTCTTTCACTTTCTCTCTAGGAGAAAGCAGTTTTGAATCAACTCACGGTATTATTAGAATCAAAAAGGGTTCTCGTAAGAAAACGTCACGAACAACCTTTGGTAGAAAAAAAACTTTCTCAGCAAGAGGAAAACTTTGTTCTTCAATTTTCGTGCAGTATTTTGCTGGAAAACGATGTTTTTCCTTGATAATATTCTGAGGATTCAGATTTTTTAAAACAGGCTCCTGAAACTGTCAAAATTGTTTGAAAGTAGCATAATCTTGGTGATATATTTCTCATGGCAGTACTTGAACAAGTTTTCTAATGCTCCCAACAGTTCCAGGTATTAATGAAATTTTCCTTTTAAAAAGGTCAAATTTCGTGGTTCTTATCTCATATATGAGACTAAAAGCATTTGCCCTCAGGCGTTTTGTCGCCCATCCAATATTATTATTAATATTACTCAACGTTTATTTTCGTTTGAATTATGATCATTCCACGCTGATTTTAATATGTCTTTGATGAATTACCCCGGATTTTTAGAGAAACTGCAACAGACCTCTGGGTAGACTGAAGAGCAGTTGGTCGGTTGGTGTTGGCAGGGGACCTCAGCAATGACTGCTGCACAATCGGATACACGGGACTGCTGGCAACACTGACAGGATTGGATCTGTAAGCATGTGAAACGATCCGCACTGGAGAAGCTGACACTGACGTTGTCAGTGACACCCACGACACCAAAAATATTGCTGTCACTGCTGACGACACTGTTCTCTTCGTATTTTTGCACCCAATTTGCGGAAATCCATGGTTTCCCAGTCCTTCTGCTCCTTTATTCAGGGAAAATTTGAAAAGAATCAGTCATCATTTGCCTGTTACTGTGATAAAAAATGGAATTTTAATCACAAAGAAATTGGATAACTTTGTACATACATTTCCTCATGCATTATGTTAGAGACTGAGTGTTTCAACAAAGAAAATTGGAAGAAATTAATGAATGAAAGGCGACAATTGGCCTGGGACGGGCTGGGAACCTTTTTGTAAAGTCTCCAAAAAAGCTTTTGATTTATTCAAGTCCTAATACAGAATTTAGTTACTCAGTGAATCTTGTAGTGCACGCAAGCATAATCACACACACACACACAAGTTAGTCTCACAAAATATTGCAGGAATCATCAAAGCAAGGTTTTCAGCTCTAAAATCAGCTTGAGAATTGGCAGTGGAATGAATTTGGAATTTTGTTTTTGGGAGGAAGAAGGAAGAGGAATCTTTAAATGGGGAAAACAATCACAAGGCCAGGGGAAAGAAAGTGAGCCTGGAAGATATAATTTTTTTAATTTATGAGTACTGTACAGTTTTTCTGTGGAAAGTGGAAAAAAATATCAGGATTTTTCCTGAATTTGCCCTGCACCCACCGTCATGGTTTTTTTTGTGAATGTCATGCAGGAGTGCACCCAAAATCTGAAAAAACAACTTTGCTGCAGAAGGGCTAATTTCAAAATATTACTTTGATGTCCTTTTTCAGGTCACAGATTACCGTATTTACTCAAGTACCACATGCACTTTTTTCTAGAACTTGAGGCAGAAAAATAGGGTGCGCATGGTAATCAGGGATAAATTTTAGAGAACAATTCCCAAAACCAGTGCCCCTCACACCCAAGTAAAAAAAATTGAAGAGGAAAAGTGTGGCTCCAAGTCTCTTCCGGTATGGGGAATAATGGCTCAATTTGTTTCATCACTTGGAGATGCAACAGGAAGTAAAGGAAGGGGGTAATATTCATCTAATTGAGGAAGCTGTCCTATATTGCAAATGCATTTTAACTACTTCTGTAGATGGAAAAAGAGAAAGACAAAATATTCATGAGGAAAAATGAATTTAAAAATAAAACATTTTCACATTTCAATTCAATTTCACATTTTTTTTCAGCAACAACAAAAAACTGGGGTGCACATCTTACACAAGGATAGGTTTACAAACTAATTTCTGGTAGAAAAATGGGGGTGCGCGCCATACTCAATGGTGCATGGTACTCAAGTAAATACAGTATACTACTATACTATGTCTTTAACCCTTGGGCGGCAAAGTTGGACTATTTTCGCAAAATTTAGCTACACCTCAGGGCAGAAAATAAAAAAAGGGCAACAGGAATTTGAGGACAAAGTTGGGGGAAAATCTGATGTTTTTTTTCCTTTTGCACAGAAAAATTTCATGGGAAAATTTAAAATATCCTATGCTAAGCAATGGGCTTTTCTTGGATTAATCCCAACTTTGCCTCAGCCCACCTGGAAGGTCTTTTCTGACCTTCAGAAAACTTAAAACACCACAGCATACAAAAATAATCCGATTTTGGCCAGCAATGGGAAAGAACCCTCCGCCGTCCAAGGGTTAAATGCACTGACTGCGCCAAAATTCTGCTTTTTGTGCACTGCAGACTCCACTGAAGCATCTTACACCTCCACATACATTTCCAGTGGTTTTGTCTTCAATTCAAGGTAAATATCATCAAATTGAATAGCAACAATGTAGTGGTAAACCTTGACAAAATATTTTATATGCCTCAACTTACATATAAGGCAATCTGTGCAAATGCCTTTTGAGAAAAGAAAAAGCCTCGCGCTTTCATTATTTTTCAAACAGCAGAGGAGTTCAGGCAAAATAATTGATAATTTCAAAATAGTGAATGAAGATACAATCAAATAAAGCATTTGGAGAATCCACAAACAGACCTCAAAAGTTCCCCAATGAAACGTGACCATTTTTTCTCTGTTCAAATGCAAATTAAAGAAGAAAAATGTTTACACTTTTTAAAGTGGATTAGAAAATCGCTTATCAGAGGTCCATAATGAGGAAACCAATTTTTAGTAAGAGCCAATTAATGCTGCACCTGACCTAAGTTGAACTGGATCTGCATTGACCTGTTTTGAGGTGTTCTTGCCATCACCTGATGCGTGCTAGCTCCCATTAAGGTTTGTTGTCACTTTCATGTGCTGTTATTTCATGCTATAGAGTATAGAGTCAAGCCCTGCACAACAGATTTTTGCAGAACAGACTGCCAGCTCTGGAGGCAGTTTCTCCTCTTGCATAACAGACAAAATCTAGCAGTTTGTGAGAAGTATATTTTTTTGCTAGGCAATATTTTTCCACCAGGCTCCATTATTGAATTTTATTCTGCCTTTGACTCAATACTTTAGCCATGCAATGGTGGATTTGATTCGGATTGACGTCCTATAACGGGTTCTGACATATTTTTATCGGTTCTCCTCCAGTGTAAGGCAAAAAACCGTGGAAGGCGTATTCTCATTCACCAACACGCCCACGGAAGGAAAACACCGGATTTCCGTGATAAGATTTCCGAAAATAAGCTCTCGGAGAAGCTTAGAAAAATCACACACTTATTTGCATATTCTTCCAAGACGATTGTATGGTTCACGAACCTCAAATATCTAAAAGCATTTGACATTCATGCTCATTTTTCAGTCGGCACTTCTTTTTCATCACGAGAATATGAAATACATTTCCCTGCAAACTATTTCAAACTCACGCTTTTTCGCCATTATGTCGTCGTCAGCAGCAGTCAGATGAACACGGGGTTGCTTTGAAAACCGAGTTTATTCAAATCAAGCAAGTCTAGCTGCTTTCCGATCATTCGCTGAAAACATCGTTCCGTTGATGTTCACTTCGAAATAACTTCAGGTTAGAAACCGAGATGGTGTTTTTTTTTCTTTCTCTCAAATAAGCTTCAGAAGTGCTTTCGGCGCGGAGTTCGGGTCGACACTGGTTCGAAGCAGCGCGGGACTGCAAAGTGTTGGGTGAGATTCCGGCGATCGTTTGCTGTTCTCTTCTTTTGCTGGTTCTGTCTGACTTTTGTTTGCTGCTGAACATGGCTGATTCTTAATCTCTTTTGGAAGTACACGGAGTTGCCAAAAGGCCCGGGTTATTGGGAGCTGAGAATTCGTGCAAGTTTTGGGCAGCGCAGCGAGTGATCTGAATATTTGGTTTGCCAGCAAGAAATACGTAATAACTCATTTTTAATATTGAGGTTTTACTTTGAAACATCCCATCAATACATGATGCTGTAGCTATTTTCACAAATTCATTGCATTTTAGTAAAAAATTCATTCAACTCTCAAAGGTGTCTAAGTGGTGTAAAAACATTAGTTCGTGCATCACCAGAACACCTTCTCTTCTTATGTCCAGCATTTCATATGGATAGAAATCAGCTTAAGAAAGATATAAATGTACTGAAATTCAATGAAGAGACACTTTCTGAAATCTTAAAGGATCAAGATAAACTGTTGGCCTAATATGATTTCTCATCAAAGATTCTCTCTACATTGTTCAATCAACTAAATCTCATGCAGAATCAAGCTGAAAACCTTGTGCTTTAGATAAAATTTTACTGCTAATTTGTTTTCAATGTCAAGAAATGGGTGGCTGTATGCAAACGTGTCAGATGTCCAGCTTTATTTTGTGGAGTGTGTTCTTTTTTATTTTTGTCATCAATTTGTGCTTTGTTTCCTGCTTTGAAGTGATTGAATGTCTTTGAAGGGATTTGGGTTGGGTGGGGAGGGGGTTTGGATGTGGGAGTCTTGGTTGTGCCTTGTGAACGCTGAAAAGCGGCAAATAAAGTGTTCTGTTCATTCATTCATACTTTGAAATAATATCTTATTGGGCGCATCAATTTATTTTGATGAAATATATTTCACATATCCACTCTTCTTATGGTTATAATTTTAACATATTTCAAACTCTTGGATGCAAATTTCTCCCCTTTGATTTAATGAAGCATAAAAAGACAAAGGCCTATGGGTCTGAAAAGGGAAAAGAAATTTTTTCTGGATGGTTGAAAATTACATTTTTGGCTGAATTTAGCAAACGGGTGAATTACTTGCAGAAAAAATGTACGCCCACTTGGTATACAAACGTATTGTGCAAAAACACTGTACGTGCTATTTTTTTTTTTAGCAAATTACTTCATTTCCTGGAATTCTTGAGCTTTGTGAGAATACTTTTGAATGTCAACTTTCATATAGGAAAAAAGAGAAATGCCTTGAAGAAGAATGTCCTAATCAATCATTCTGATTTTTTTCTGACATGCTATAGTGTGAATATATTTTGAAAGTTTGAGAAAGCTGAGTTTTGCATTCCAGTGAGCAAGTATTTAAATTTTGAAATGAATATTTTTAGCCAATTCGTTGCTAATTTCAAAACCCCTTTTTGTGCTCAAAACATTACGAATATATCCCGCAAAATTTTTTGTGTGGAAAAATTATCACAAATTTTGAATGATCCAATGAAACATGTTTTTTCCATTTGGTCAATGTGTTGGAAGACGCGAGGCAATCTTATTTCAAAGAATGCTATGGTGCTTAACAGGACTGATTTATGTTGAAAGCATTCTCGAATTCTCGTTTTCGGGTTGCCCTTTGAGAGACGTATTTATTGGTAACACTGATCAGCCGATAGCAAAGGCTTGTTCAGAGAGGGAGGTAAACTTTTGTCCTCCTGAACTCCTTCCCAAAAATAAAAAAAATAAATCTGGGAGCGCAGAATTTTTGGCTATACGTCGAGTCGATGTGTTTCCGCCTATTCTACTATTCTTCTGCCGATTGTTCTTCGAAACATAGCTTCCAATTTTTTTTTTCGCATACACATTTAAAAAAATCGTGGATCACCTTTGTGACTCGTGTCCAGCAAGCTTGCATGTACTGAAACGCTCATTTTAATATCAATTTGCTGATCCACTTACATATTGCTTAAAGTGGGTGTAGTCCAAAAGCCCCCCTGCCAAAAGCCCCCTAGGTCAAAAGCCCCCCTGAAAGCCCCCCTGCCATAAGCCTCCCTAGGTCAAAAGCCCCCCTGCCAAAAGTCCTGCTTGATGCAAAAATTGGGGATTACAGGTATTCTTGTATCTCTTGATGGTAAGCTGCACCTTTCACCAGCAGGCCCAGGACAAGGCCAAGTACCAGATATGTTTGTAAGTTGAGTATATAAAGGGATTCCTCACCTGCAGTGGTCATCAGTGATTCTTTGGATGTCAAAGCATAATTGCTTGCTGACTTCTGCAAAATCTACAGTTCACCTTTTTGATCCAATGGCTGGTGTACTTCAGATCATCAAAAATCTGAAGGGTGGTGAAAAGGCATACTACAATGGTTATTTATTCATGGTTAAGAACACAAATGCCAGTGCTAGGTGCTGGAAATGAGCTAATCAAGAAGGAGATGGGATAAGAGGGCCACATTGAGAAAAAAAATGACCTTGAGAGCATCAGTGACACTGAGGAAGAGGCTGCAGAAGGCAATATTGAAGATGATTATCCAACAGTCATTTTGAGGACTAATGAAATCAAGCAGCCCTTCTCAGGGCCACATAATACAGCTATGAAACTTGCATAAAATAAAAGTGGCTTTTGGCAAAGGGTCTTTTGGTTGGGTACCGCTTAAAGTGATTTGAAAAAATGGATGAACTGAATAAAACTGCATGGATTCCTTTAAAAAATTGACTATTTCCATGGTGTATCAGAAAGGGATTAAAAAAATCTCATAAAAAATCATGAATTCCTCTCAGTATTGTATTTCTGTTTTGTCTTTTGGAGATGGAAAAGTGCGTAAGCATTCAAAAATGTCAAAAGATCAGCAGTACAAAAAGCACAGAAATCTGCGAAAAATAAATTTGAATACGTAATACCTGATTGAATTTTTAAAAATGCGTAAATGGTTACTGATTTATTTTCTTTCTCATATTCAGAACGACGTGTGTGGCTAAAAGCCATAAAGTGACGATGTTAACTTCTGATAGAAGCACGTTTAGATCGTGGCACAACTTTCGAAAAGGACCAAAGTACTTCTCGTACTATATCCAAGGAAGTGAGGGAAACGTTTGATAACACGGCCAGTAATCTCTTGCCATTTTCTGAATTGCTGCATTTTTTCTTCTTTGTTTCGTGGTGTTGCATCAGTGTGAAGATTATTCCAAAGAAAAAATTAGGAATGAAAGTACAGCAACAGCACATGGACCTCGTTGGAAATGATTACTTCGATGAGGTGTAGCAACAGGAACCTATTTTCCGACCTGGATGTTTGCGTGACCGGATTCATTGCGTCACCGGGTCTCCGCCCCTGTGATTCCCTGTTATATATTGTCTTTGATAGATTTATTCGATTTTTTTTCTCACTTTCCTTATATTCCCCACAATAATGCTGGGAAGAGAATCGAAACATTGTCTTGTCGCAAGTGATGCTTCTTATGAAGAGGATCAACACTTGTGTATTTTTTTTTCTGTGGGATGATTCGGAGAGTGTGATGCAAGGAATTTTAACGAAGTGCTCGTGATTGAGGAGAAATACTGGGCAAAGGCTCTCACGATTTTTCTTCTGATGTTTTCCCCTCTCATTACTGTTGAGTGGAAAAGTGATTGCTATAAGCAATCGTTTCCGCCTTTCCCGCGAAAGCAAATCTTTCTTTTTCTCGAAGCCAATGTCTGAAAAATGGATTTGATACTGCTTTGAGAGTCTTTACACCTATAATTGTCTGACCGTAAACATTTTTACGACAGTATTTTTAACGAAAAAGGTTTTATATCCCAGAAATTTGAGCGTGGGCCCAACGCCTCCAAAATACAGCAATTTATTCGATGCAGTACCCTTTTTAATTCAACAATAAAAAAGAACGATTTATAAAATAACTAAGCAAGAAGATAGTAAACCGATTTCTCATTATTCCATGGTAAATCATTATTCCATGGATTCTATGGATCTAAAAAGTTTGTAATCTGCTTTTATAGAGTGTTCGTAGAAGAGATTTTTCAACAAAGCAATATACTGTACAATAATTTCTTTCAAAAAGTTGTTATCCAGGAAATACTCGGGTTTGTTTCCAAGACCTCTTTTTAAATTGCACCTTACTTCGAGGAAGCAAACAAGGTTTTCTCCTTGCAGCTGTTCCCCTTGTTTTGAAATC